AAGGCAGCGGCAGTGCAGGGCATGCAATTATAAAGAAGGGAAGGCTTTTTCAGTACTTTTGCTGATTTGACCTCACACTATCCCATCAGCTCACCTCACCTCGCTCGCCAACAAAAGAGCCCAGCAGCAGTAGAGAGGGCAGAGATCCTCTATGCACACACAACACACTGCCTCGTCGCTCTCTTGCTACTCTCCTCTCTCTTTCTCTCTTTCTCTTCCCAAAGGGTCCCTGCACTTTTAATTTCCTCAAATTCCGCTACTACTTTTCCTGCCGACTGCCGACCGGCTTGGTATCTTATACATACTCTCTCCGTCCAAAAAAAGACAAACCCTGGTTTCCGTGTCCAACGTTTAACCGTCCGTCTTATTTGAAAAAATTATAAAAAAAATTAAAAAGACAAGTCACACATAAAATATTAATCATGTTTTATCATCTAACAACAACGCATGCACACTCACCCTACCCCTATGAGCATATTTGAAGACTGGCCAGCAAATCCATCTGGAGATTGACGAAGTCACCGCAGACATCTCGTTGTCGACGGGTACGTCGCCTACCATTGAAAGCACAAAGCCGTTACTCCAGGACCTAAGGTGCTACTGAGACTGTTGTAACCACTAGGCTACAAGGCTCTACTATGTTTATATAAGTAATCTTATACTCCCTCTATTCTAAAATATAAGGCACAACCACTCTCAAATTAAAAACTAGGAAATAATTATTACCACCTCATAGACCGTGTTTAGTTGTTTTGGCAATTTTTTTTGATGTATACAAACACACATTTAAAGTATTAAATGTAGACTAATAACAAAACAAATTACAGATTCCACCTGTGAACTGCAAGATGAATCTATTAAGCCTAATTAATCCGTCATTAGGTAGCACCACATTGTTAAATCATGACGTAATTAGGCTCAAAAGATTTATCTCGTAATTTACATGTAAACTGTGTAGCTAGTTTTTTTTTCACATTTAATACTTTATACATGTGTCTAATTTGATGTGACAGAAAAATTAAAAGTTTGAAGTGAAGTAAACATAATCATAGTTTAGATTGCTTTTCTTTCTTTCATTGTTTACATAAAGCCTGCAGGGCATTCACGCACACCAAGAGATATGCTCTCACCGTCAAGCTTTATTCCCTTCGCTGCTTGTGCCTAACCCTGTCGTTTCATGGCCAGGGAATACAAAGAAACCTTTTCAGAAGGGTGAGATCGACGATCGCTAATAAGCTACAGCAAACTAGATAGGGCTTGTTTGATTATCTATCCTACTGATTTATTGGTAGTACTAAAATCTAAATAAACTTTAGTATTACCAATGAATTGGTAAGGTAGAATTAGCTAGCTTATGTTTAGATTGAGAACAGTATGAAGCCAGAATTTAATATTATAGTGAAGAAACTTTTAAAATTTAGCCAAATGAAACATGGCACTACCAATTTGTTGAATTTAATCCGAACTAGCACATTAATTTATTATTTAAATTGTCAGAAAATTGGTAAGTCACATTTTCGTATCAACGCAAAATGGCTTATTAATATAGTGTCCGAAGATCAACCATTAATTCCCACTCCTATTAAATTAGTCTACGCGCCATTTTGGTGATTTACCACGACCACAAGAAGCTAGCGAAGCCGCGCGTGATCAGCTGCACAGTTAGGAATAGGAGTTAGAAAAGATTTTTCCAAATGACCGAAACACGATTTCGCGTGCGGTTGGATAACTTCTGCTCTTAGAGGTCCGCGAAGATCACCATCATCGCATCATTCCTATTAAGCAACTGTACGCAAAGATCGATTATCGCGTGTGGTCTCACATTAGAGGACTGCATGCGATGTGGCCGTATTGCGTAAGGTACGTCCTCTTAAGCAACCACACGTGATAATCGATATTCGTGTATAGTCTATGACCTGGTCCCAAGGGACCACTTATATCCCGTCTGAGATCTATTAGGCTAGCTGCTCGTTCAGAATAATCATATATATAGTAGTGCTTCAGAAGTTAGTTACTAATCTCTTGCAACACCACAGAAAATGGCAGAACAGATTTTGCAGGCTAGCTAGCTAGCTAACACATACGTAATATACATGTTTGGTGTTGTTTCTCTCTCTCGAGCTTCCTCTCCGGCCCTCGATCAGTACGGAAGTACTCCCTCTATCCGTGAATATAAGGGACTTTCTCTATCCAACTTGTCTTAAAATATAAGTTTTAGAATCCTAACATAGTACTATATTCTCCACCTACTAATTTTTATAATATTTTATTCCTCTACCATCTACTTTTATCCTAATTTATTCTCTCACCTAGTAACTTTTATACTACTTTATTCTTTCACCCATCACCTTCTGTTCCATCACATGTCCTTTTACCACTTCCTTAATTAATTCTTACTCCTTCCGTCCCAAAATATAACAACTTTAGCACTCAAGATTTGTCTAAAATATAATAACTTCTCCACCAACATTCTTTTTCAAACCAATCACAACCCTCCAGCATTCACATTTTCCGTCTCTCTACTACTCATGCAATCATAAACCTCCACCATTCATTTCTACCTATTTTCTTAATAATCGTGTCTAACTCTAAAATTTATTATATTTTGAGACGGAGGGAGTATTGAAATTGGTATAATCCCTTATATTTATGGATGGAGAGAGTAGTAATTAAACTGCAATCGAGAGTGAGCTGATGCCATGGCCGGAGCTAGCTAGAGATTCCAGACGTACGTACCCTTCTCGGTCAGCTACTCAGCTGCCTCAGCTAGCTCAGTCTTTTGGTCAGCCGGCCATCCGGCCGGTCCTGAGACATAATTCGTCGTATACCGGTGTGAGTGTGACACGCCTCTTCCTCAATTGAATTGAAGTATTTAGCTCTTCGAGAGAAGAAGAAAAAAAAAAGGAGAGGCAAAGCTAGCCATGCATGCATGGCAGAGCCGGGGACCAATGCAACGATCGACTTGCTCAGATAACGTAGTACGAGTATAGTATACTACTCCTTACTAATAAAGAAATTCGTTTAGAACAATATTTAAGTCAAGCCTTGAAAATATAAATCATGAATAATTCTCACGTTGTTGAGTTTGAAAATGTAAAAATTATATGTATAGATTTGTCTTAAAAAATACTTTCCTAAAAGTATACATATATCATTTTTCAATAAATATTTTTATAGAAATAAGAAGTTAAAGTTATGTTTTGGAGACCGTGTTATTATACTAAATGACTTCCTTTACAAGTATGGAGGGAGTATGTGTTGTGTTAACTGACCATGCGCCGTATGCACACGTACTAGGCATGCACTGATCGACCGGTAGATGCATCATGCATGCTTCCATGCACGCGTTAAATGAGCACTGCATGAGGGCATTCTCAACCCAAGACACTAGATATGGTTTCCATAAACTTCACATTACCAAGAAACTAGTGCTAGACACTACTCTTTCAATGCAAACAATACTATTCCATACTTAAATTTAATGCTACTTATCTCACATAATGTCTTGGATGTTGTGTAGAAACTATGTCTCATGCAAGACATGGTTTCCTTCTCTTTCCTCATTTATTCACTTGACACATCATTTTTTATTTTAAGTGTCAGCTTATTTAATGCTATGGACACCATCCTAGTCATTGGGTTGGGAATGGCCTGAATGGTTGCGAGTCTGGTACATGCTATCGGTTGAAATACTTGCTAAATGATGCATTAATACAGAAGCATATATACTAATCGTATTATACTACTATATACTTATACTGCATTGCAGCCTACGCTTGCATAATTAATCAAATAAAATACGGATATATAGAATGGTCCGGGGCTGAGGAAAGCGTCGTACTAGGCTGAAACCTGCAAGCAGCTTACCCTGCATCTGCAATTCTGCATGCTGAGATGCAGAGGCAATGCAGGGGTACTAGCTAATAATGGAGTAAATATGAAAACTTATGCATGACACGCGTGCAGCAGCAGTGTAGTAGTAGGATACTCCAGCAACGAAGACGCCCATCATGCAGCAGCAGCTAGTAGACAGTCTTGAATCCCCAAGTCAACTTAGATGCCATGGCTCCTGCTTGTAGCTAGCTTAGGGCTAGCTGCATCTGCATGAAAAGAGGGTGTTTTTAGTCCCTCTCTCTCAAACACCCCCTAATACACTCCTATACAACAGTAGCTATATACTATAGGCATCAGGCAGGGTGCGCTAATTAAACAAGCGTAAGAGAAGAGGAAAGAAAATGCTGTACTCCTAATACACAAGCAATAGCAGTAAGTAGTAACAGTTTCAGAAAAGAAAATTTGCTCAAGCTAAGCTATAGCTTCGCTGTGGTCCGGCAGACAGGCCAGAGCTAGCTGTTCTGAAGGATCATCTGATCATCAGAGCCCAGAAATGATAGGGATGCCGGTTGAGCAGATTGGGTCAGGTCGTTACAGATTCCAACCCAGACCGTCGTCATTGCCGGCATCTCGCGGCAAATCAAAGTAACCTTACGACAAGGCAGTACCGCGTACATATGTACATGATGCGCGCCCGGTATACGTATATGTATAGCCGTATAGCCTGCTACAGGTTGCAGCAAGTGTACTCTCTGTAGTCTGTACTGTACATATATACGATACGAGCGTATAATACATGCATGTGCGCGTCTACTAGCTCACTCAATTACGGCTACTAGCTACTGTAGCTATACTAACGAAGTGACTGGCCAGCGTGAAGACAGAAATGACAGCTAACTAGCCACGGCCAAGGCCAGTATAGCATGTACTCATCACCAGTTTTTGTCAACGTCTACAGTCTACTACTACACTGGCATTCATGGGCCAAGTTTAGCCATCTTGTTATGTTACATCGGGCCAGATACCTGCATGGGCTTTGCTAGCCATGGAGCCCAATATGGCAAAGGCCCATAAGGAGGATAACGGAAGCCCACTACAGGCTCTCGGCCCACAAGGCGCGCTCTCTGGATCTTTTCCCCGCATCCCCCGCGTCGTGCCGGCGGTGGCGCGACGGCTGCGCGGCCGGCTACGTGTTCGCGCGCGAGCCACAACACGTCTCACCTCACCCACACCCACTCTCTTCTTCTGCTTCCTCCCACGCCGCGAGAGCGCGCGCGCACACGCCCCCGCCATGGCTCTCCCCACCACCTCCCCCCTCGCCGCGGCCGCAGCGAGGCCCTGCGCGTTCCCGACGCCGTGGAGATGTCGCTCGCCCCCTCTTCGCCGCCTCCCGCACGTCTCCTGCCAGGCGAACCGAGGGGGTTCTCGGGACGGCAATTCGTTGAGCACCTCGGCGGCGGCGGCGGCGGCGGCGTCGCCGCCGCCGAGGTGGCGTGCCGCGGTGTCCGCGGCGCTCGCGGCGGCGATTGTGTCCGCGGCGCCGGCCTACGCGGATCTTAACAAGTTCGAGGCGGAGCAGCGTGGGGAGTTCGGCATTGGCTCCGCTGCGCAGTTTGGGTCGGCCGACCTCAAGTACGTTACGCGGGCTCCTTTCCCCTTTCGGATCCTTTCGTTTTGCCTCGTGTCGCTGATATTCTTCGCCCCGTGCTTGTATCATTGCAGGAAGGCCGTCCATGTTAATGAGAACTTCAGGTTGGATGCCTAATTTCACAAATCCCAAATTAGTATTCTTTCGTGCTGCGGTGCTAAATGTTTGCTGCTTACCATAGGTTTTATGTAATAATTGAACCAAATGAATCCTGTGTTTCCAATTTCAGCTATAAACAGAAATTCCATTTGGTCTATGCCTGTTTGGGTTATAAAGTAATTTTGGTTCTCTGCAAGTGTTGATACAAACTTTTCTCTAGCTCATGCTTATGCTGTTATATCATCATCTTAGTATTCTGGATAGATAGACACAATCTCTGGAGTCCAGTGGGTTATGCATTTTTTTTCAAGCATTGATTCCATTGCAGGCTATAGATAAGACATAAAAGCTCTTGCAGTTTAAAGTTTGCTTAGTTAAGCAGTTTTACTATAGTACTATCATATTGGCATTTATTGCTTAACATATTGGCATTTATGTGGAGGGTGGAAGATTAAAATAGTAATATCGCAAAATAGTAATCAGCCACATAAAAAACAATCTGTAGATGAGCAGCCAATTTTGAATCTTTACCATCACTGCTTCAGCTTGGCATGGTTGTCCACCTTTAGCATATATTACAATTCTCTGCATATGAAAGATATATTGATATGCTTAATTAATAGGTTGGGTACCCTCAATTTCTGTTATGAATTTTCCCTATGGCTCAAGAAAGAGATCATTTTTTTTCCTTTTTAATACAACATTTATCAATATAGGCGGGCAAACTTCACTGCTGCTGATATGAGGGAGTCAAATTTCAGTGGTTCCACATTCAATGGTGCCTATCTTGAAAAGGCTGTTGCTTATAGAGCAAATTTTACTGGTAAGTGAAACAACATCTTTTCAGTATGTGGATGTGTCAAACTCCCTCCAAGAAGTTATTATACACTCATGCTTGATGCAAATAATTACCCCTGTTTTGTGCCTTTGTGGTTAGTAGTCCTGTACTCTAGTGATATGCCTTAACAGGGAGACACTGCACTAGAGATATCATAGAGAGCCCTTGTTTGAACTCCACTAAGGCCTTCCCAGTTTAAACTCTGATCAGGAGGCAAACAATAAACTTCATTTTCTTTTGTTCCAATTGGAACCAACATGGTACTTAGGTCTTTGTTATTGTTAGTGAAAGCAATTGCAGAAGTAGAGTCCTGCATCTGATTTTTCAAAATCCTTGTAACTTTTGACTGCATCTGAATGGTTACAGAATACTTCAACCTTCCCATGCAGTTATTTATGACACAATTTCACTGTACTATTGTTTGGTCTTTTGCAGGTGCAGATTTGAGTGATACCTTGATGGATCGCATGGTAAACCTACAACTTCTTTATGTCATGTTTTTCTTGTGCAAAGTATCTTCTGCAAATACATGTATATAGTTATGGACTTGTGATGCTCAAGGGCATATGGGTGATGCACTTAGTTGTGCAAATGCGGAATTTGACATCAGTGTGTTAAAAGAGATAATGCATCAGAATTCTTGATCAGTGTAGTAAATGATTCATATATTAGTTTTGGTGCTAAATGCTTATGAATGCATTGTTACTTTCAATATGAAGCCAGGTTCAATGTACCAGTTTTTAAGGCAACTACTGGAGTCTCCTGTTCTTAATTTACAACATCGTTTAGTTCTTCAGGAATAATAATTTCAAGGCAAAGTAACCTTTAAGCATGTATTGAAAGTTTGTATGTTATTGACAGGTGCTCAATGAAGCTAACCTTACAAATGCTGTGCTTGTACGGTCAGTCCTTACGCGTAGCGATCTTGGTGGAGCAATCATTGAAGGTGCAGACTTCAGTGATGCTGTTATTGACCTGACACAGAAACAGGTACATGAAACTTGAATGACACTACTATCACGTGTAGTAATTATCAAACTAAGGTTTATTTTTGCATGTTCCACGGGTCTGTTTGATAAGCAGTTGAGCATGTCAGATTCTAAAAATGTTCCTTTTATTTTTCTTCCACGGGTTTTTCTTCTTTGACGTGTTTGATAAGCAGTTGAGCATGTCAGATTCTAAAAATGTTCCTTTTATTATGGATGCTTGCTGTCTGATTTTGGTATTACTAATTTTTAAACACTGGCCAACGAACTGTGTATGGATGCAGAAGTAAGTGTCATGGAAGAGAAAACCGAATATTCAGACAAGAGAATCTTGACATGAACTTGACTATTATCTCCTGGCTGTTATGTCTCATGTCTTCGGGAAGGAAGTTCCATGTGCTCAACTGCTAACAACACAATCTTTAGCTTGAACAAACATTGCATAATCCTAATGTCCCGCATCTGTGACATATGAATTTGAAGTTGAGAACCGGTGCCATACTGTTTCAGCAGTGGTCAAAACTAATTTTGGATGATACATAAAAGAATCACCATATGATGCCATGTTGGGGTCTATCTTCAATGTTTTGCATGAGTTCTCTGATTCTCTTTTATACAGAAAACAAAAGATAATCCTGATAACTAATATTAGGCAAACTGGTATGTAGGCTTTGTGCAAATATGCAAATGGAACAAACCCTTTAACAGGGGTCAGCACACGGAAAAGCCTTGGATGCGGCAACAGTCGCCGAAATGCATATGGGAGCCCTTCCTCCCCTCTTTTGAGTGCTCCACCACCCAAACTTCTGGACCGTGATGGTTTCTGCGATGAAGCAACTGGTATGTGTGACGCAAAATAAAAGAAGAATTATCCAGCATACTGCAGAAATTGAGCACTGAATGCTGTATATACATTGGAGACTGAACAAAAGACAAAGCAGATCGGTTCAGGATTCAGAGAAATTGTTCTCGTTTTGCGAATGTTGTAGCATTGCAGAGAGATCAGGTAAACTAGGACTGTAGACAAGTTATGTGTACTGAACGACTGATGCCGTATATATATGTATATCAAAGTGTTGCCGAATTCATTCCTTGCATATCTACTGGTTACTGCTTGCACTAGCTAATAACCAATGGAGTGCTTCTGTCAGTAAATAAACTTATCATTCTTTTCAATGAATTGGGATACATCTGTTAAGTTCACAAACATTTCTGACGCATCGGCAGCGACCATAGCTGCCGTATCGAATGATGGACTGCACAAATAGACGTCCATCTACAGCTTGACTGTTTTTTTTTACAAATTGTGTCAAGTTAGTTACTGAAGCCCCTTGGCTTCACCTTACAGCTAACTTATTAACACCAGATCCCGCGATCTGATGTCAAACAATATGAACCACTTTGGTTACATACTTATTATTTACGTATGCGTGCGTTTCTCTTGATATATATATATAGCCAGCTATATATATTTGTACACTTGGCTAGATCAGATTTGGATGGTATAAATTGTGTGTGTATATATGTTGTCCAGTGGATTTATATTTATGTGGAAAGTGAAGCTATTTCCACAGATCAGCCTCGCCGCCGCCGGAGCCGGCCGACGTCGAAGCGTAGTCCAAAGCCTCTTCATGCTTGCCACCGTCTGCAGCCTGAAACACCTGAGCCGGATGGGATCCGTAGCTGGACATGGACTCCTTGCTGAGCAGCTGAGACGCGACGAACTTGTCCAGTAGCCTCCAGTCCGTCACCGACGCGTCGACGCCGATGCCGACGCCGGCGCCGGCCATGTAAACAGCCTCCAACGACGGCGGCTGCTGCTGCGCGGCGGAGCCGGAGGCTTCGTCGTCGTGAGTAGTAAGGGCGGTGGACGACGACGATCCGAGGTGGCCGCCAATGTAGGCCGCCGCCGCAGGAGGCGGCGGCGGCGGCTTGGGGCTCTCCAGCTGAGGAAGATGCTGCAGGAAGGCCTCCTGCGGCAGGAGGTGGTGGTACTCCAGCTCCGGCTTGCAGTGACCGTACATCTGCTGCAGCTGCTGGTGGTGGTGGCCGTGGTACAGCGCCGCCGACGAGCCCGGGTGGTGGTGGTGGTGGTGCGGCAGTAGCTGCCTCGGCGAGCTGAGGTCCGGCATGAACGCACCGACGGCGCCGTGGTCATCGAACCAGCACGGTGATCCGTCGGCCATTCTCCGCACCGTCGCCACCCGCTTCTTGAACACCCGGCAGACCACCCATCCTTCCTCCTACACGCACCAATGATCAGTCAACCACTTAGTCAGACTTAGGTGCATGAGGCGGATTTTGACCGAATCTCATTCTAAACATCAAGAGATTTATTCCGATCCAATAAAAAATATCTCAAGTTACCTCATGACACCAAATCATTTTTGATCGTTTGATCTAGCTGAGCAGGGTGGGCATTGTTAGATCAAATGATAAAAAACAATTTGGTACCATAAGGTACGGTACCTTTTTATTGGACCGGAGCAAATTCCAAACATCAAATATATGCATACAGGTGTGGTGCCGTTTTCGTTGGTCTCGAGGCGGTACTCGTGCATGATCCAGTCCGACTTCTGGCCATTGGGGGCACGGCCCTTGTAGAAGACGAGTGTCTTCCTCATCCCGACGAGGCAGCTGCGGGCGTAGATGGGCTTGTCCCTCCCCGTCGCCTTCCAGAAGCCGGCGCCCGTGGCCCGGTTGGTGCGGGTGCCCGTCGGGTACTTTTTGTCTTTGTGGCTGAAGAAGTACCAGTCATTCTGTTCTTCCATGCCAATCTTGCACTTCTCTGCAATATTTGTACATGTTGGATGCTCAATTCAATCGCAAACCTAACTTTGATTTTTTTGATTCTTCGATCAACTTGCATGCATGCTAATTACCTTGGAGATCCCAGGGCTCGATTTTGTACAGGTCGACGTCTTTTATAACGTCGAGGTCGATTTTCTTCGATGCCACCTTCTTCCTCAGGTAGTAATCGACGAGCTCCTCGTCAGTAGGGTGAAAGCGGAAACCAGGTGGCACATGGGAGAAAGTGTCCATCTTATTCACTAATGGACTAGTAGCAAGACTGCAAGGACATGCATAACTTTTAGTATAAGTTTTTGAAATGCTGGCGTTGACATATTAATTAAGTCCAGTACGTGTAGTAATTAGCAACAGGATAAAGAATAGTACTAACATATAAATACACAACAAAGCATCTAGATGCATAAAGAATGATCCAAAAACATCACACAAAAATAAGCATCATCAAACCAATGAGAAAACACAAAAGAAAAAAAACATATTATATATGCAATTAAACAGCACGAAAAATTCCTTTTATCTCCTTTTCGTCTGCTGTAACATTGCTAACTTCATAACCAAGTCTGGTAGTTAGATGGCATGATCGTTTGTAATATTTCTTCTACAACTGGATCGGTAGCTTTTGTTTCATTTTGAATTGGATCGATGATATTTTCAGGAAAAGCTAGCAATCATGACACTAGATAAAAAGTGCCATACTTTCATCATATACACGATTACCTGGTTAATTCAATGTTTTAGGTTTCCTTTTGTGTCAAAGAAGCTATCTATGTACACATCCCTTTTGATAAATACACAGCCTTGACAAAAAATCAACTATATCTGTATTAGCTGCCGGCCGGTGCGCAACGTTAAATACTATCGACAAGAGGGAGTGTATGGATCAGGATCCTCTACAGTCGAAGTCATATGACTTAATTTGTTACTAATACGTGGTTCCGATGATCCCTAGGCTCACATGTCAGTAACAAAGGCACTGTGCATTTGACTGTAGAGAATCTCTGGAGTATAGTACGTCTAACTTCAAATACAACAATGCATTTATTTTCTATCTCATGAGAGGGAGAGAACTGATGTGGAAAATAAGTAAAAGTAAACTTAGAAGATTTTTATTTGTCATCAATCAAATTAAAGAGATGAGTGTGCACGTGTTTTAAACGTCTGCGTTTATACTATGTTTCTAAAAAAACAAAAGAGAAGCATATCCTAATGTCATAACCCTAGCTTCCTCGGAAATGGAAGTATAACTTAGACCTTAACTGTTTGTGCCCTAAGATATGACACTATAATCCGTGTTATTCAGTTATTTCAAAAAAAAAATCATAACTGTCTAGATCGAATTCATGAAATGAACTGAGAGGGCATGCACCCTAAGGTCTGACATACTTCCCCTTGTTTCCTCCATGCACGGTTAGAACATATTTTTTGGTAAAATTAATTAGGGTATGACATGAAATAATCATCATGACTTCTTAAAATAATTCACAAAACAAACGATCATAAGCAACAAGAAAGGTATAGACTAGTAATGGCTTACCTCTGACCTATTATTGATTGACATTTCTTAGAGAAATTCATATTTGGAAAAGTTTATATGCATGTATCTGAAATTATAACTCTTTATTTTGATATATTCAATGTTCTATACAAAAATCATGGAAATCATGTGCAGCTTGTTTGGATGATATAGCTTTGAAATGATCATCTCAGCCAAACTGGACCCTGATATAATGTAACTGGATGCCTCCCCTATGATGACAAACACCCACACAAACTGCCATAGATTTTTTAGGTGAAAAAAAAAACACCAGACCGAAAACAATTAATAAAGAAGTTGTCGATGTGTTATGTCTTCTGTGTATATAGGAAAATTTTCCTGGTGAAAACATTCAGTAGCTAGAGACTATATCAAGAACATATTTAAATTTGTATAGGAAAAAAAATTATGCATGATGAGAGAGCTAGGGAGGGAGATCACTGATATTATTACTCTGCAGGAAGAACCGAAGCGCAATCCACACCACTCCCGAGCACCAAATCTTGTTTGTTCCAATGATCACAAATTCACAATGAGATCAACCAACAACCCTATCAGCTGCAGTTGTCAAGCTCGCCCTCTTCTCCCTTCTTTGCGTCTGTTCTCCCGGCAACACTTTGCAGGTCGATTGTGCGCGGCTGCCCTTAATCCCACGAGCTATAGCTATGGCGGCCACCACCACCCTTCACGCTCACAACCTGTGCCAAAGACGACCGGCAGAATTTACATACAGCAACGGCGCCGCCGGCCGCCGGCCGGGCACAAGTACAAAAGAATAAAAGATCGACAAGACGGATAAGAGAGGAGCCAGCCAGCATACGCATCCCGGCTCGATCGTATGATCACCTACTTGTAGGCAAAGGTAGGCAGAGAGGAAGCAAGCTTGGTTAATTAGGTAGCCTCCGATGAGTTTATCCGCTGCTCCGCGCAAGAGCAGCTGGCAAGCTGGCTAGCTCGACACGCGCGCGCCCCGTCTCTTTTATCTCCGGCCGCCGGCTGATCGCTTTCAGCGCGCGAGGGGGGAGGGATGAGAGGGACGGAGGGTGTGCGCAGAAAGGGCGGGTGGATTGCGGGCAAAGTCAGGCTGAAATCCAGGGATATCCTGGATCTGCCTCTGCCCTTACTTTCCCGAATATTGGCCGCCCGCTCGATCCACCTCGCGTCGCGCCCGCCACCGCGCGCGCGCTCTCACGGTCTCGGCTAAGCCTTTCTCCACTGTAACCGCCACCACCACCACCTCCACCCGCCACCAACAGCGACCTCGTCGATCGTCGTCTCTGTGTGATCTCTCAGGCTCTCCTAGAATCCCTAGCTAGATAGCTCGGATGGATGGATGGATGGATGGAGAAGGGGGTGGAGGTGGAGTGGAGTGAAATGTAGCGGCGCCCATATATATATGTGCTCTTCTTCTAGACGACTACTGCTACAGGTTGGTGGAGTCAGGAACACTACTGGTCAGTCTCTCTCTCTCTCTCTGGTGATAGAACGATCTCTCGTGTTTGGCTCTGCGAAATGCCACACGATGCCTCGCTCCAAACAGTAGCAGGCTAGCAGCGTGCAGCCGTGCAATACTATTGGAATGGAATTCGGAATTCCAATCTGCTTTGGATCATGCGCGCGCATGCGATTCGCAGCGTGATCACTCATCACACGCGCATGTATAGGCGGTGATCTCCCTAGCTTACTGAATTCAGAGCTCACTCGCTAAACGGCTAAACTACTTCTCGCCGACGAAACATGCATTATTATTTTTTTCATATCCTAGTTATATACTCCCTCCGTTCCTAAATATTTGACGCCGTTGTTTTTTTAAACATGTTTGACCGTTCGTCTTATTTAAAAAAAATTGTGAAATATTTAAAACTATATGTATACATAAAAGTATATTTAACAATAAATCGAATGATAGGAAAAGAATTACTAATTACTTAAAATTTTTATTAAGATAAACGGTCAAATATGTTTAAAAAAGTCAACTGCATCAAATATTTAGGGACGGAGGGAGTAATATGTTCTGAAGAAATTTTAACCATGACGATGGACTATCGCTATCCTGATCTACCAATTGGGAAATCGGAGCACATTCCCAAACAGACCTAGGTATAGTAGTATATTTCGATGGCGACTCTTCTCCAGATGGAAATTAATTAGAGCCGGAAGCCTTGCATTGAAGAAGCCAAATACATTATCCTCGTCCGTAGTCGATCCATTATTAGTGCACAAAGAATTCACTAATTTAATTAGGTTAACTTTTACTCCGTACTTGGAAACAGAAGCAGCAATTCGATCGTATAGCACTCTATCGCCTTGCTACTTTTGCTAGTATAGTACATAGCTTGGATATTTCATATAGAGTACGTACATGTGAAACCTAATTAAAAGGAGTATAAACATGCAAGAGGCAAAGAGCAAAGCTAGATTTCGCCGGTGCCGGCTACAAGAACAGTCGTCGAGGCCGTGGCGGCCGGTGGTCCGGCGTGGGCTCGACCTCATCATTAGCATTTTGCAACATTTGCTTTTATTATCTCTGATCGATCTTTTCGACCCCTAGCTAGCAAGCTTCTCCTTAAGCTTCCTCGGCAAAGGACCGCTGCCTACTGGTGCCGGCCGGCTGACACCCTGGGCTCCACTCGCGCACGAAGCCCCCATCCCTTTTCTGGAAGAGGAGGCCGGCCGGGACGCATGCAGCTACACATCGATCTCTCCAAGATTCCAAATTAACCTACCTATCTCGGGTAAATATACGGTGGAAACTGAAATCGTCTAAAATCATACTTCTACATGTAAATGAGATCACGGTGAATAGCTGTGCAGCAAATCTAATATAAATTCGACTTCCTTTGTGAGATATAAAACTAACAAATTTCAAACCAGAAAAATAGTCTTGACGAGTTGTTTGAAATTTATTATTTTTTTATCTTACAAATGAAGTTGAATTTGTGTTACTCCCTCAGTTTCGTATTATAAATCGTTTGATAGTCAAACTTCTTTAGTTTTGACCGACTTTGTAGAAAAATGTACTGACATTTTCAATATAAAACAAACATATTATTAAAGTTTATTCAATGGTGAATTTAATAAAACTAATTTGGTATTGTAGATGTTGTTAATCTTATCTAAACTTAAAGTAAACCTAAAGAGTTTTGACTAAGAAAAAAAATCAAACGACTTATAATATGAAACGGAGGTAGTAGATTTTAATTTTACGTAGCTATTCATTATCATCTTATCTGCATGTGGGATTTTTTGTGTGATTTGAGACGAATTTTTGGTCTTGGTTTACACGAGTTTTCATCTAAGTATACAAACTACAATATATTTTCCCACCTATCTCAATACTGCATTATAATCAACCCTTATATAGTACTCTCTCCGTTTCTAAATATTTGACACCGTTGACTTTTTAGCACATGTTTAACCGTTCGTCTTATTCAAAAAAATTGTGAAATATGTAAAACTATATGTATACATAAAAGTATATTTAACAATAAATCAAATGATAGGAAAAGAATTAATAATTTCTTAATTTTTTAATAAGACAAATAGTCAAATATGTTTTAAAAAGTCAACGACGTCAAATATTTAAAAATGGATGGAGTATCTTGGTAATTTCTATTGATCATGCATCTGTCTTCTCTTCTTTCTTGAGCAAAATAATTTCCTGCAAAATGAATGGGCCGGGAGAAGTGGTCGGCATCGATGGCATGCATCGTGGGCAATGGTCCTGAAGATTATTAGCTAACCGACGAATGGCTAGTACCACTTATGTGGCCAGTTCAATCTGGTAAACTCTTTGATGAATATCTTTGTGGCCAGTTCAGTCGTCTCAGCCTAACAGAAAAGGTCATGCATTCTAATTTGTGTGGTCCTCAATGTGATGACAATGCAGGCGCTTTGTTCGCACGCAAATATGAAAAGGAAGGACGTTTAGATCGATGGTCGTTGTTGTAAAGATCGGTTTTTTGCACATGCACATTTCATAATCGATCGATCACTTGAGTTGATGGGCGTTAGGCCAATCGGCGATACTAGCTATATCTCACGTGCAGAACTGTACATGTACTGTTACCTCTAGCCTCAGCCGAAATCCCAATGCTTGGATGTGCAGCAATATCTAAGATGAATGCACACGAATGCAATGCACTCAAACGACAGGTATGTGATTACTTACTAGTAGAAGATGTAGTTTATGATTAGCATTACGCCAGGGATGCAATCATCTACTGTTTTATATATATGTGGTTAATTTTATTATGTATATATATAATATATTACAAAAAAATATAAAAAAAATCATGCGTGCGTGTGAAAAAGAAAGACGCGATTAAAAAAATCTGAAAAAAGCGATTTAAAAAAGGAAAAAAAAACTGACGTTAAAATAGGATATCTAGGAAAAAAAAAGAAACGTGTAGGGACGCGCTGGCGCGCGCCGGCTCCTTTCCACGGCGCGCACGCACGCGCTAGTATCCCCCTATTTAATCCCCCAACACGTCTATATTTTCTTCTTAAACAATATGTGGAGGTACGTCTCTCTCCTTCAATTTTTTTTTCAAATTAACTAGCAAAATACATCGCTTGGTCATCGGTGCAAATCAAGGAATAGTCCGTACCGATAATCCCGCAAAGTGCACGCCCGCCCAGGCCCAGAGCCAGCCCCACGCAAACCCATCATGAGACTAGATAGTTGATTAATTCGTGTCGCATGTTTCGTCACCTCGACACGTTGGCGTGCGTGCGTGCTGCGCCGGTCGACCGTCCGATGGCGACGTACGCCCGGAGTAGCCGCCGTTGGGAATCACTTTTTTCATCACCAAAATTCATCAGTTTGTGGTAGGGGGATACCGGATACGAATCATACGATCGATCGGAGGGTCCGATCCGGTACGTGTCTCGATCAGGTCATAACAAAATCCCCAAACCCTCGGTCCGATGGCGACCGGTCGATCCGTATATATCGGATGCATTCGGGTGGACGCTAGCTAGCTAGGTGCTGGGCCTTGTTGCATCTTGAATACAGTATGCGCCATCTTTTTTGTGGGGAGAGATAGGAGTGAAGCGAAAGGGTCGGGCTCGATGCACGCCACGCGTGCGTATGTGCGCGCTAGCTGCAGTGCGCCCGCCATCTCATCTCGCACACGCGCCGGCCGGCCGCCGCCGCGCGCCGCTGCATGCCGGCCCGGCCACAGCTCGCCCCACTGTTCCGATCGGCCGTGTTTGTGTGTTTCTATATGTGACGCGCACATTCAGACGATTGCAACGACGACGATAACCGTGTCGGTGTACGGCCGTCTAGTAGCATCAGTCTACGTAGGTCAACCATGGATGGATGTCACGCGCGTGCTGCCCAAACGAGGGCGTGTGCGTGCGTACTGTTTGTTTGGCCTTTTTGACTTGTGATTTGGAACTTTGCACCTAGGTTTAAGCGCTTGGCATGCACTCCTGTGGTATACTCCGTATATTAGTGTACGTAACAGCAGTTGCGGCCATACATATTCTCGCGCATGCATGCACCATGCGGTGGCTATGGCCATGATCATCAACGACGAGTTTGGAAACGGCCAGCAAGAGACCTCAAGTATGCCGGCGGCCGGCTGCAGCTGCATGCGTATGAAGAGGCTAATTAACTTCCTGGGTTGCAGGCATTAGGCAGTGTTAATTAACACAAGATTAGGAATTTTTGTGTTCGCGATCGATTAGCAAAACTTAATTTATTGAGAAAAAAAAATCAGGTTAGCAGATTTTTAGTGGTACAAGAATCTGCATCCATGCCAATGCTACCGATCATGCAGACCTGAACCACAATGTATATTTTTGCCTGGTGCGGCGACATGGTCATGAACATATGGAATGATCGATCGATGGACCGATCATGGGGCTTCTTCTCTTTTCCTTCTTCCCGTCCCGGTAACGTGGGACCCACAGACGCAACATCTTATCCACTTGCATGCAGAATTATGGGAAGGCCATGGACGAGTTAGCTAGCGAACGATCGAGCTGTAACTTTTTTTTTCTTCTCCCTTTCTTCCTCCCATCGAGTACGAGCTGTAACTTTCTCCGGTTAAGAAAAGCGAGCCTTCGAAAAATATTGCACCGCCGCACGCAACGCATCAAAACGCCACTCATAGTCAAGTCGTTTACAGCTATTAGAACCTACGTACCACTCGCTAAGTTGCAGGCTAATCCGCTGTTAATCCTTAATTACTTACACATCTACATACGTACATACATACGCGTGTCGTTTGATCTTTCGACGTGCCGGCCGCCATCGCGGTAAAAACACATCTCTCCTACAATGCGGCGGTGGTTAAGCCTAAGAGGGCTGCTACAAAACGGGATCCCATTACAA